GTACAGTTTTTAAAAGCATGTTTTTACTTGTTTTTGAAGTGGTGGTGGGACTATACCCGTTTTATGCAAAAGTAAGTATGACTGATTTGAAGTGAAATTTTTATGCTTTTCATTAAATTGAGCATGCCTACTTGAAATTTAATTGATTATCCTGATGATCTGAAAGTGATTGGTGAATTATGGTTTTTTTTTTTCTGTTAACTTTTGCTTGTTTTGTCTCCAATATGGTCATGTTATTCGTGTGCCCGCTAGTGGGAGGTTTATAAACGCTAGCACAAGTCGACATGTTACTGATAGAACTGGTTTGTTTCTGTTATCCTGCTAGTGGGAGTATACACTAGTAAATCGTGTGCCTGTCAGTGGGAGGTTTATAACACTGGCCATGACCTATAGAAGAGACGTCTATTTCATTCCCGTACTGTATCTGTTTTTTGTGCTTACACTTGTTGGCATGCTATAAGTTTAATAAGGGGCATTCCATAATTTGCTTATTGAGTTTATCTCATAGTTTTTCCTTGTCCACCATTTCAGGAAGCGAAATCGAGGACGGGGAAACCAGGGGAAGTGACGAGTTAGAAGGCTAGCCATATTGTAATTGAACATAGATTTTAGATATAAATCATGATCTTGTAAGCTAAACTGTATTTGGAGATTTTATGATATCAGAGCAGATTTATAATTTTATCTTTAGATTTTGATGGTATTAGATGTGAATTGGATAAGTTCTGAGCCTTGTGAATTTGTGGGACCCTCTCATGAGTGCACGGCGTTTGTTACACCTCGAATTCAGGTTTTGAGGGGTGACAGATTTAGTGGTATCGAGCTTGGTTTAAATTAAGAGTTTAGGTTTAAATGAAGAGTTTAGGATTAAATTAAGCACCTCCAAATTGAGTGGTATCAGAGTTCTGATTTAATTAAATACCTAGGTTTAATTGAATACCTAGAATTTGTTTGGAACTTAGCTGGCCAATGGATTTTAGAATCGTGGTGAGATGAGTGATGGGGTTATATAAGGGGCGATTCTGATTCATGTTGCCTAAATTTTCTAATCCATTTGATGAGATGGTAATCTGATTGTTCTTGTTTCCTGCCTTCATACCTTGTGTAGATTCATGAAATTAATCTTGTCTGCCATGTTCTTAAGACCTTGTTTTGAAGCTTGATCATTTTCTGATAGTCTGCCCTTGTTTAGACTTGTTACTTGAATAGAATTTTTATGTGCTCTTTTGCCACAATTGTAAAATCTGGGGAGTTGCAGAGATCTTTTGCTATTGATCCTGTTGGTCTCTACAGCATAGCTAGTTGAGAATTTGCTCTGTTTGTCACATAACCAGTGGAAGATGGGCAACCCTCTACTTTGTAAGAGATTCAAGGCTATTTTAGCAAATGTTGTGTGTTTTCTAGATGCGTTTTAGGAGCTGGATAACTTGGTAATTTCGCTGCTCATTATCTTTCTGAAAGTGTTATAGTGAAATTTCACTTTTTTCATTTGGAGCTTCATGGTCTGTTCATGTGGCTCATTTTTCTATATTGATTAATCAAAAACAATGATCAATTCAATTGAAATTACCATGTTTTTGTGAAGATTGGCAAGCTGTCATAAAGTTAAACTCTCTATTGTTGCTAATCTCTACATTCTTGATGTTTGTTGAAATTACTTGAAACTCCTAAAATCCGTCTTGAATCTTTCTTGATATTGCTTTGTACTTGCTCTTGAAACTTAAATCCAAAAATGGATAATGACTATTGAAATCCTCATTATCTTGATACTTGTCTGAAACTATTTCTTGAAACTGTTTCTGGCATTGTGCTTGGAATTGGTTCGTAAACCTTGCTTGAAATTAATTCTTGTTGGAATCTATTCTTGAAAATCAATTGATATTTGGTTTTTGGAATCTATTTTGAATTGTCCTTGAAAACCATTCTTGTCCTAACTCTTGCTCTTGCTCAAATCCTGCATATTCTGCTAGTTCTTGTTTTAGTATACTTCTTGATGTTCTTGATTTTTTATTTTTGTTCATATGGACACCTCTTTAGGAGGGGTGACGGTTATTAGAAGATACCTATAAGAGGCATCCTCATTCCTTGTTTCTTGCAAGTATTCATCTCTGTATTCTTGATGTCTAGGATGACTTAATTGTAAATCTGCTTAGCCTCCATGGGCTACAAGGTGAAGGGGTAGTCTTTGAAGTACCTGATGCCCTAAAGATTTGTTCCAAAAGAAATGGTTCTTTTATTTGGCTACTTAGATTCTTGTTTGGCCTTTAACTAGAAGACATGAATCTTCTAAGCATCTTGATCCTAGCCATTGCTTTGTTCTGTTAATTAATCCTAGTACTTGAGGTGCTAGATCTTGACATCCTGATTATATCTGCTCTTGAATCCTTGTTCTCATTGTCATTATTGAAATCTCTTTTGTGGCCTAATCCTTGAATTCCATTGCCTGTTTCATGGTTAACTTTTGTCTCTCAATTTTGACTGCTTGGTTAAATTTGATCTTGATTCTTGGTGAATGTCATTTTGTTGTTGAATTTTTTAGGCATTCTACCTTGCACTCTTGTGTTCCAGTATTCTTCCAAGCATTCATATTTTTCACTGATTTTATTCTGGTACTATTCTGGAAATTTCACGTCATTTGATGGGTCTAGCTTTTAACTCTTATTAATTGCTAAAATCTATCTCTTGATTCCAGTTGGTTTGTTATACATGATTTTATTTATTGGTTAACTTTGTTTTGTGGCAGAATTTATAAGGCATCCATGCACTTGTTCATTCATTCATGATCCATATATCCATTGGATGCTTATTCGTCTTTGATAGAGTTCAAAGTTTTGTTGTACTCGTCTTTAAATCCATGCCATTCTTTGCCAACTCGCCTTGTGTTGGGTTTATAGCGTAACCCCACAATTGTTCTTTTGTGGCTTTGGCAGGATTTATTTCTATTCCTTGTGTTTCCCATATCACCCCAGCCTCTAGTAGCTTGTTTCATGGTAAATCCTGATAAGTAGTTAGTGTTCTATTTTTAAGATTAGTTATGGTTTGATATCAGAGTGGCGTAACAGAAACGTAGTAGGCCGTGTTCTGTTCATAAAGAGTTGGTGAGGCATTTGTTTTGTCTTGAATTGTGTGAAACCATTCACCACTTGAGACGACCCTAGATTTGAGTTTTGGGGACAAAACTCCTTTTTAGGGGGGTGGATGTAATATCCCAAAATTTTGTGATATTTTAGCATTAAGTGAGGACCTTTGTGAGAGGCAATACGGTTTTGGGACTTAATAGCCAAAGATTTCAAAGTTCAGGGACTTATAGGAGGAAAATCTAGAAGGGTCGGCTACTTTTCTTTTTCTTTTTCTTCTTTCTTCTTCTCCACCCATTTCGTGTTTCTGCTCATTTGTTTCTCCCCTGCAGCCCGAAAATTCCCAGCCACCGCCACCCTTCCATTTCTTGAAAAAATTTGGAAGAAGGCTTGAAATTTCTCCTCCTTT